TGAGACGCTTGGTCGTATGGGAGCATTTCGCGAGGTGCAAGGGTGACCAGCCACAACCCTAGACACCCACCTTTTCCTTTTAAAGCTCAAGGTTAGCAAACATACTGAGCAAAAAAGGGCAGATCACGGTGGAGACAGCATCAAGGATGAGAAAGTCGTTCAAAGTAAGTGCGGCAGTCTACTTAACACCGACAACAACCCTGAACTGAAAATCGAAAGGACAAACATCTTTTACGAAAGGCTTGGCTCCGAACCAACCGCCATAGAATTCGATGTGTTCAAGGAAGACTGCATAATATTGATATTCATGCCGACTATGCGTAATTATTAAGTATCACACATATTTTCAAAACCGAAAGCCAAGCTAGGAAAATAATAAATCGGTAATATTTGATTACTGGTTCATGCACCAATTCCGCATAGGAGAGGTTAAAATTTTTGGAACTGAAACAAGGTGGNACAAGGTGGTGGTGGCGCAGTGGTTTAGTCGCTTCCATCGGCATGCTTTGGACCCTACGGTCCGAGGTTTGAGCCCCGCCACCGCCATCCGACTTTGGTGGTAGGCAGCTCCGCTGTAGTCCGGTTCAATACCACGCCTAACCTATAGGGGCCCTGTGTGGTTCGCCACTCCAAGTCCAGGAGTTTAGGTTGCCGGTTTCCACCACTGAACAGCAGATCCTCGTGACTCCGTTTGCTCCGTTTGCTGTTCATCACACTTAGGTGTGCAATAAAAAACTAATAGTAATACAAACGCACAAGAACAAAAAGACCGGTTATATGCAATCGCTCGGTTCAGGATGAAAAAGGCGAACAGTACCTTCGTGTAAGCAATGGCATCTAGATCTTCCGGTTTCACGTTGGCTTCCTCAAGTGCTCGTCGAACCAGTGCGACGACATGTGTCTGATGATGTCGAGCGGTCTCGGTTGGCTGAAACCCTTCTCCTGGTGGAGTGATATAGGTCAGTCTGGGATTAGACAGGACAACGCCATCACGAACCACGCCAATGCCCAATTTATTGGCGCTACCTTCCATTCCCAGAACGATAGTCATTTTTATCTATGAGAATAGTTCCATGTCAAAAAAGAGATGAAAAAGAAAACTATTGAATGGAGAAAAATCAGCACAGATCGAGTGATCGCCAGGGTTTACTGTTCTGCTATGACAACTGGTGACTTCACTCACTGGAATAAACACTGCCATCTCTAACATATCTCCTTGGGAGTGTCTTCCAAAAGTGAGTAGTAAGATAATCAAGCGTTAGCTATCTTTTGCAACGATTCGGTCTGCCGACACGAGGCACACTCTAATGGAAGCGTCGAAAAATTATACACAGGAATGAATGAAGTGATGTTTAAAATAAAAAGTGTTCCTTCAAGCAAGAACTTTTCAAGCGACTCGTGCTAGGCCACCAAGTGACGTAATATGGTCGAAACTTCACACATGACGTGACCTCATAAATAAGGAAGGTGTGGGAGAGGTGCTACATCTCTCCTAGACAGTGGGTGCTAATGCACAGCTAGTGGTCACTCAATGACCGAAAAATTAAATGGTAACAGTTTGGTGAAAAACTGAGTTTTCACACAGTCACTGGCTACTGGAAGTAAGACAGAAACTAGAATACTTGCGGCGTATGTTGCCTATGCTAACAACACCACGACTATTAGGGTTTTAAATGCAAATTGACATCGTCACAAATCATTTCCCGCCTTCGGAACTACGACGTCTTAGTCAAACGCATTTTAACTCCTCAGATGGCCTCAGATACAACTGCACATTACAAACATACTTTGTTCCTTTATTCATATGCACCCGAAATCTGGCTCGTTCGGCATGTAATTAGCTTGTTGCTTGCTTGGTATCCCAGAGACTCACAATGCAAGATGACAAGCTGAGCGGGATAGATCCAGATGAATGCATACTCGAATGACTCATCCGATAAAACAAACATAAATGATATTCTTTTTCCTCTCCTTGCATCCGCATGGGTGCATGACTTTTCTCACTGTAAGCAAACCTAACAACTCCAAGGTCGTTGACTCCCCCCCCCACCCGGTAAATCTTCCATCGTGTTTAAAATGTCAGGTTTTCGGTTAGCTGTCATCATGCACAGTTAATGGCTGACGGGTTGAAGAACGTTTCGGGCGTGAAAATTGCGGTCGAACGCTCAGCATAAACTGTTCGAGTTGGACGATCGTTATTGCGCACGTATTTCCTTTTATATCACGCTTTGGTGGTGGGAAATACTACATAGGACCTACGGTTCTCTAACAAAAACTGACTACCTAGGTAATCGGAATGGATGCAACAGGTAGTGAGCATCTCGGTTTACTACATACACTAAGAGCTTAAGAAAATGGAGAACGGTATTGGGGAATTGAAGATGAGTAGTGTCTGTCGAGGGAGAGATATATTTTAGTCAAAAAAGGCTATGTAGGAAGAAGATTAGAGAAAGTGGGGTGACAGCATCAACATTTCAATTTATGCCACATTTATGTGTGAATTCTTTGAGTGTGCATGTATGACGTGAGAGAAGACCGGCCACCCAACACAATCCAGAGTGGCGAACATAAGGTCTTAGTGTATGCAGTAAACCGAGATGCTCACTACCTGTTGCATCCATTCCGATTACCTAGGTAGTCAGTTTTTGTTAGAGAACCGTAGGTCCTATGTAGTATTTCCCACCACCAAAGCGTGATATAAAAGGAAATACGTGCGCAATAACGATCGTCCAACTCGAACAGTTTATGCTGAGCGTTCGACCGCAATTTTCACGCCCGAAACGTTCTTCAACCCGTCAGCCATTAAAACTAACTACAGAGAATGACGTTCATGGAAGTTCACGGCACTGAATGTTGGATATTATCAGCTAAGATCTTTGTTCAAGTAGCAGTAACCGTATGGCTCAATGAGATACGCCACACTGGAGGGTGCTACGGCCCATCTAGATGTGCGAGGGCAGTCAGACAGTCAGAGAATAAACTTGCTGTGGGCGGCTCAAAATCAATCGTGACAATAGTAGCTAAGTGAACACTTAGTTGTGATCTCTGGTTGCTACTTATTTTGGACCGAAAGGCTTATCGATTGAAGTGACTCACCCACCGTCCGACCACCGAAACAAACGCGCACGCACTTAAGCACTGAAATTCCCTTCACCGCCAGTTGAGTTGAATTAAAGAAAAGATTACTAGATAGATTAGCCTCATTGAGAAAATGAATTAAAATAATTGATTCTCTATCTGAACAGTGAAGAAAATATCTAATTAGTAGAAGTAAGGAAAATCATGGTGACTGGCGACTATGGTAGACGAAAGAAGCCAAATGAACTTTGCAATGCTCTAGTGGCACACAAACTAGGTCATCAAAGTTCCGAATATAACCACTCTATTGCCAAACGACTTCAAATACGATCATAGAAAACATACTTCAACGCATTGAAGGTCTACCATAACTTGAAGTTGCAGATAAGATGAGTATCCAGGAGATTTACTTCCTGCTGTTTAAAAACATGCAACATTTTGTAGAGTAAGTAACATATAGAAGAGCACAATCATCGATCTTATAATCCCTTTTGAAATGGAAGCACAAGATGGTTTACCGATCAGTGAGTGACAGAAATTATAAGCGATTTAGGTCACCCCTTGACGCTCTGAGCCAGGGTACTGAAATAAATACCCAACAATGTTAGGGTACAACTCGATTATCAAAACCAGCTACTTATTAGTAGTAAATGTAAACGGAGAAGACAGAGTACACGTAAAAGACATGGTGAGAAGATTCCGTAAGTGAATTCCGAATTATGCAAACCTGGATGAGACAAAATCAAACGATTCATCAACACGACACATTGAGCGCTTCCACAGATCATGGTTGTTCAACTTACTGCCGTGTGGATTGGATTCGTGAAATTCGTGTAGTTGACCGGTGGACAAATAGTGACTTAATTACTGGACAGTTGCTTCGACCTGGTTGGGTATACACCTGATCGGTTTGGAATGTTTACAACCAAGTCATAACCCTGGAGGTTAAGTGCTGAGATGCGCAAGGTGTATTATTCGCTTTAAACTCACAAATATGGGTTGTGCTATATCGTGCATAAGCAAAAAGAAAAACGGCCTGAGCAGCTGCCTGGTGGCCCTGCAGATAACATGCTTGCGTTCTGTCTGTGTACCCCCGGGTTCAATCCCCAATTAAGTCGATGGATTCGCATTGCTGACGAGACCCAACCAGATCGAAACAACCGTCCAGTGCTTCCTGGCTTTTCATTTTCTCTTTACAGGTGGAGATCCACCATATGAACAAAAAATTCTCCATTTCTCTTCTGACTAAATTACGGTTAACAGCGACCCCGGGCCATCACTACGCTCATCCACCACCCCTCTGAAACTCAAAGTCAGCTTGTACTTCCCAACCAAGTCATAACCCGGGATTCTAGTGTTGAGATGCGCTAGGTGTGATGCCCATATAAGCTTACAAAGATTTTGATTGTCATATCGTGTATAGACAAAATGAAAAACAGTTTGATCATCTGCCTGATCGTCCAGTGGGTAGTATTGTTGTGCTACCGGTGCAGTGCCGGGTTCGATCTTCAGTGATGTCGGAGGATTGTTTTTCATCGGACCAAACCATGTCGAAGCACCTTTCCAAAGCTTCTCAATTTTTTAGGTTATGGCTCATTTACCCTGTACACGATGAAATGCGCCATATAATTGAATCAAATCATCAAATTATCTCGAGAACCATCAGATCATCAGCATCGATGAAAACAACCTCCCCAAATCGTACAGTTATTAGGTCTCCATCGCGACTAGATCCAAAATGAGAATGAAGAATGATCAGAAAGCACTACTACTCACGCTCAAATAGCAGACACAGACCGAAATGCCCTTCGGAAATCTCAATCAAGCATCACCTCACCCATCCAAATCATTGCCACACACTAGCCACCCTGAAGGTGATCCATCCTCAGTTTTTCACAGTTAACCTATGTTCGCAAAAAAGGCTAACAGACTCCCACCAACTACCACGGTAACGGATTAGTCGTATACATGAGACATTACCACCTGGCTACAATGGTGTAGTGGCATAGAGATGCAAACACACAATGCACCGTCCACCCACCGCTCTTGCGAACCACTCAGTCTAAATTAAACATTTTTATAACCTTCAACCAACTGAAAGTCCACGCACTGAACACGTAAATTCCTACTACGATCTATACGGGCCAATAGACTGACTGATCAATGAAAAGAATGTGATCTCAGGTAGAGAGAGAGATCTGAAGCAGATTGATAAAGACAAAAATTTTAACGTGATCATCGTCTTCAGACAGCACAAGAATGAGCAGTGTGAACAAATCGGACTGTAGTGAATGCGGCCCAGAGAAAAACAAAATGTTTGAAATACCGGTTTTCTTTATTTTCTCTTTAACAAAAAATATATACACACTTTAGAGAAGAGGATGAGGAACGCGGTGAAGTAGGATGGATAATGTCACTTCTAGTGGTCGGTTATCGCCGCTGNGTTTTCGAGTTGTGACCGGCGTATCGGATGGAGAGGAAGAGTCCAATCTTCGACTGGGCGACGACGGTGGTGGTTGAGATGAGGAAGTAGAGCTCTCCGTTGAAGCGTCTCCGGAACGCAATGATTTCCGCGTACGTTTTTGCGCACTAGCTCGAGCTGGTGGGATGGAAGAACCTGTGATAGAAGCAATAACGGTCGAGCAAATCACATACAATGGGTTGTGATAGTAAGTACCAAGAGTGACTGATAGATTGCAAATTAAACCAAAAAAGAAACATTTTAGTGGTTTCGGACTAGGTTAGCTCTTTTGGGCGATAAAAAGCCACAGGGGTTTGAATCAAATGCAATCCTGAAACATGAACAAGATCCCTTGTGTATTCGCTACCTAAAGAAAGAGTTCGGGCTGACAAAATTAAAGGGAGAAACTGTGCAACCATCAAACTACAGTTCGACAATATCGTGGTCTTTCTTATTACCAAATGGTGTAATTTTCATACAATGAATCTTGCGCGTAGTGCTGAAAAGGTCGT